AGCTGATGTTTGGTCGGGAACTTCGGTTGCCAGTGGATCTGATAACAGGACACCCACCTTATGAAGAGTTGCCTGACAATGTGTCAGAGTTCATGAAAGTATTATCTGAAAGGATGGATGATATTCACCATCAAGTGCGTTCAAACTTGAAAACGTCTGCTGATTCCATGAAGCTATGTTATGATAAGAGATCTACTGAAGTCAGCTTTGTACCAGGAGACAAGGTGTGGTTGTATAATCCCAGGAAGGCCAAAGAGAAGTCTCCTAAGTTGTCTTCTCCATGGAAGGCCCATATGGCATAGTGGATCATCTCTCAGACGTGACTTTACGAATAAACTGTGGTCGGCGAGGTAAGCCAAAGGTGGTGCATACCAACAGGCTTTGGCGTTATCATGGTCCAGGAAATTTCAGTTGGAATGAAGTGAACAATGGAACAAATGACACTGCTGAAGACGTGTCACCTGAAAAAGCCACTGTCGAAGGAGAAACTCTAACCATTTTTGAGAAGGGAAACAGTGAAGCCCTTAATGAAGTTACTACCATTGATGTGACTGTTACCGATAATAGGAAATTTTCTTATGGAGCAGATGAACCCCACGTGAAGCAGAAGCCAACGAGACGGAGACCAGTACAGAAGAAGATACATCCCATAAAAATAAGAGACTTTGTTGATTTAAATTTTTTTGTTTGTAAATTCTGTACATTTAATCAAGTTATTGTTAATTATCTATTGGTGAAATGTAAGTGGCTATTGTTCTGGATGAATAATACTAAGGAAAGGGCAGTGTTACGACAGCGGAAGTCACGCAACTCTGGGAGCATGTGCGCTGGAGTTTCTAGAAGAATCATCACTTATTGGGGAACCTCACAAATGTCCCAGCGTTTGCTAGATGCCCTCTTTTTTAGTATATAAGCCGGAGATAGATTGAAGAGAAATAATTGTTGATTGAGTCAAGCGAGAAGTAGGCACCGTAAGTAAAGTGTGAATTGCTGTGAATTATAGCGTGTGTTTATAAAAGTAGTTAAATTTAAAGTGACTGTGGAAATTAAGTGTATTACAAAGTTTGTAATGAGAAAGAATAAACTAGTTTTGATTAAGAAAGGACTTGTATCACTGAAGTTTCTCGGAAAGAATTTTTACGGGAAATTATCAAACAAGCAGATACGTAACACAATAACACACACACTTTGAGAAAAGTATAGCACATATACAATGACAGTAATGTCCCCAAACCAAAGATTATTAGATGGCTATGTTATTAAATTCTGCTTTTTCTATAGTTTTCATAAATGAAAATTTAAGCAATATTCATCATCTTGAACAGATAATAGATGGAAACCAGATCAAACAAGATGATCACAATAATTCGGAAAAGTTGTATTTGGGACAAAAAAAAAATTAAATTTAGAGCTCATTAAGGTCTTATCTTACCACTTGGAATCTAGCATGAAAAGAAAGAGTTTGCCTTGCAAATACTTTGTAGAGGCCGAGAAAAGCACTAGAAGGACATTCTGAGCTTTCGATTGGTTATATACACATCATTGGGCGAATTAGATGTACATAAGCAGGTATTTTCAAAAACTGAAGAGGTGGGCAGGGCCACCTTGGTTGATTCAATAAATATATTAATATCTCAGAAAATAGAAAAGATAGGAGGTTCTTATTTTACATTCTAGCTTGTCAATATTGGTAATTCATAAGAAACTATAGACTTTGTATTTGGACATCACAAGCATCTAATTTGAACCAATGCTGCATTTAACATACCACGTAACACACAACATTCGATATCTAGGATTATTTTTAATATTTACTTTTAAATTAAAAAATTAATTAATGTATAACACTAAAAGTTGAATTATAATTTATAATTTGATATTGATACACATCAATACTTATTGATACACATTCATAAAATGGTAATTCAATAAAATTTTGAATGCGAGTCAACAAACACGATGACATGGTCTTTGACTCGTGACCCATGTCGGTAGGGTTAACGAAGTTTAGAATTTTATTAGCTAGTCAACATGGTTTCACTAAGGGAAACTCTTGCTTACAAATCTTTAGACAGTCTTTGAGAAGGTTTCTGCTCATGTAGATGAAGATAAGGGTGTAAATTTGGTGTATCTGTATTTTCAGAAAGCATTTGATAATGTGTCACATAAAGGCTTGTAACATAATTATCTTATTTAGTTGTGGGGATAAGCTAGCTAATTGGATAGAAGTGTGGCTGGATGGAAGAAAGCAGAGAGTTGTTATAAATGGAGTTTAGTCAAACTGGATTAATGTCACAAGTGGGGTACCTGAGTGCTCAGTCTTAGAACCTTTGCTCTTTCTGAGTTACATCAATGATAGATAAAGGAATGGTCGATAAATTACTTAAATTTGCAAATAATATTAAAAATGGGTATTAGTAGCTATGAGGAAGATTCTGCTTCTTAACAAAAGAATTTAGATTATTTAGTGAGTTAAGGAAATAAATGGCAGATAGGTTTCAATTATAATAAATGCAATATAATGCATGTGGGTTATCATAATTTGAATTAAAAAATACAATTTGGATGGGAATAACCTTCACAATGTTATGAAAGAAATATTGAATACAAGTCTAAAGAGGTTATAATTATATTGTATAGGTCACTGGTTTAGCCACATTTGGAATACTGTGTTCAGTCTTGGGCTCCTTACCTTAGGAAGTGCATTGAATTGTTGGAAAGGGTCCAGAGAAGGGCTACTAGAATGGTGCCTGGGATGAAGAGGTTAAAATCTCTGAAATTTTTTCTTAAAGAGGGGATCCAATTGAGGTGTTTAAGATTGTTATGGGAATTGATAGTGTTGAAGCATAATCTTTTTCGTATTTCTTGATGAGAATGTTAGGGCTAGGAGACACAAGTATAAATTTTGGCATGGTAGGAGTCATCTTCAACTAAAACAGTTTCATTTTTCTAACAGGGTGGTTGGCCTTTGGAATGGGTTGACTTCGGATGTTTGATGGCAGTAAATTTAAGTAAGTTTAAGAGAAAGATAACCATATGAGTGATAAGGGATGACTTTGAGGGTTTTTTCTGTTTAACTATTTAATTTAGTTTAAAGGATGGGACAGCCTAGATGGACCAATAAGTCCCTTGTTGTCCCTAAACATTATGTTATATTAAGGTAATTTAATGTATGACAACTTATAAAAATGTGGCATTACTACATTATAATTAAGGCACAATTAATCCAAGATACCTCCAAATGACAATCTACATAAAATATATGTATTACAAATTCTAATTAAAATTATATTTAAACTTTTAATTAATACAGCAGTTCTCACTGCATTACAACATCCTTTTAATAGAAAGCATTACTACATGGCTCCACTGTCTTGTATTGTTGCAGAATTGTTAATCTTGATAAATAAAACTTGCATCACAAAGAAATATCAACAAAAGTAATATTTTGGCAGTCAAAAGTGATGCTCATTTTAAAATTAAACAAATGTTTGTGGCCTCCTTCCAAGGCACTTGGAACCCTCAACTTGAGAACTGCTGAACTTTTAGTATTCTAGTTAAACATGAACATGAAGAGACAGAAAAAAAAAAATCAACAATACCCACCTAATTCCTCAGCAGATTTCATAAGGGAAACCTCCCCTTGATCACGAGTGATATGAAACATTTTCAGAATGTTAGAATTGTTCCTTTCATAAATACTGTACTCTAAAGAAGCAGCTTCCCCCAAGTCTAAGTCCAGTGCATTCACCTAAAGTTAAAACAAGTTTAGTTAGAAAAACACATTTAAGAGACATTTAAGTTACAAACTAGAATATGATATCTTTTGAATTAGTTAAATTTTGCTTTATCTGCTTTATATATATATTCTTTTATTGTTTAAGGTATTAGATTTTCAACTAACTATTCAATTATTCACAACTTTTGAAGGATTCATTTAAAATAAAATTAATTTAACTAAAACTAACTTAGTACTACTTATGAACAAGATTTATAAAAGATGATGTTAGAGAATAAACCACTGTTTTAAATAATAATTCATATAGTGGAAAATAAAATAATTAATGTTCAAAATATCATAAATAATGTGAGTCTATAAGGGACTTGAAATTCATAATAAGATACATATAGACTGTACTGAATTACCAGTTTTTCCCCTTGCTGTTAAAAAAAAAGTTTTAGTTGTCACCCCAATGATTTGTTTCAAAATTTGAGAATATTAGAATTTTATGTTAGTCTATGTAATATGCCCAAACAGCAGCAGATGTTCAACCAAACTGGGCAGTATGATCAATAACTTAACTAGGCATCAAAATATTAAATATTTATGTTATATATGTCTGATCAGGAGTAAGCTCAACATCAGAATAACAAAGGTAAAATCCAATTACACCAGTAAGTTGACTTAATAAGTCAAAATAAAACAAATTATAGTGATATTTACAAAACTTAAAGTAATTAGCATGTTTAAGCCAGCTACAAAAAATCAAAGCCATACCCCTGCACATGTGGTCAAATTTGATGAATGGACATCAGACTGGAGTAAAAATAGACCATTAAAATATGTGAAAAATGATCTTTATCTGCATGTGGTTACCTTATTCAGTTGACTTAATAAATTATAAAATATAATAACAATTAGTTACGGTTTTCTCTCTCTCTCTCTAGTGTTATCAAAGGGATAATCTGAAAATATTAAAAGCCCAAGTTATGAAAACCCACCAATTATGTGTATTATTCAATTAATAAAGTTGCTTCATGTTACTAAGTGAAAGGAAGGAGTCTTTGAAATTAGATATTTTGCAAAATGTATCCTGAAGTTTTAGTACTTTACCATTCAACCATACAAACAGAATAAATATTTTAAAATATGACTAATATGAAAATTCATTTTTCAAATTTGTCACTATAAATAATAAACTTTCTTCATACTTAAATAAGAGTTAATTGTTATTTTCTAAACATGAAATATTTCAAATTAACAGTTTTTTATGCCATTTTAGTCACTGTCAAGAAACATTGCTACAGATGATGAATTATTATCTATGAAGCAACATAATGTGCTAGAAAATGTATTTAAAATATTTTAGAGAAAGATATGACAGTGATTTTTATCACATTTACTGTAAGCATTTGTCAAACATATCTTTAAAAAATATTTTTGAAAGGTATATTTCTCATTCTTACACGTTATCCCCTCCTTTTGAGTTTAAAGTTACCTTACCAAATATTAAAAAGCCTGAAAAATTAAAAAATTAAAGTTATGGAAACACAAAAACTATACTATCTGGTAATCATTTCTTGCATTAATAAAAACAAAAACAGTCCTCTAAACATTAATTTGATTTTGTATTGATTATACTGTATTGTAACATTTAGTGTAGCAACATTATATCTGAATTTGTTTTAAATCCAAATGTCTTTCATTCATTACATTACTGAAAGAAACATAATATTCTATATACTAAACTTCTCTCCTGTCCAATGAACTTAACTAAACCTGAGATACTGAGAAATTATAAGTTATATTTTCTAATTACACTTATATTTATAGCAACTATCAAAGTGATGATTACTGATTCAAACAAAGCCTTACAGTCAAGTTGAGAGGTTGAAATATTTTAGTACAGCTATAACTTTTAAATTTTATTTTTTAAGTATGAAAATCTATTGGTTTTTGAATTCAGATTTGTGAAAATACCTGTTTCTTACATTAATAACCATAAGTTTGTTTGTAGTTAAGTACAAAGCTACACAACAAGCTGTCTGTGCTATACACCCACCACGTGTATCAAAACCCAGTTTCTTGCATTATAAGTCTGTAGAATTATTGCTGTGCCATTGAGGGGCATAACCTTAGGTGTATACATATAATTTTAATTTAAATAAGAGTTGCAGGTAATTATTTGAAGATTCAGACACCTTCTGTAACAAGTATAGTAAATCATATATGTACTAAACTTAAAAAATGTTTTATGCTCAAAATAACAGTAGTAAACTGAACCAAAAAAGTTGCCATAATATAATGTTATAAACTAACATGGTTAACCTTCAATAATCTAACTTCTCTTTAATCAGCCACTATGCAACAAATACCAACAATATTTTTAAGTCTTTCACTGACATTGGCACATATATGCACCCTTCTAGAGCACTGCCTTGGAAGTCTGGGATTTTGTACCACCACGAAGAAAAAGTATTCCTTTTTAAAAATTCCCAAAGTTTGCCACTTTCAGGTAAGTAAAAAATATGAAAACATATGTCATGTTATTGGGTATCTGAAAAGAAACCTGAAACCAGAAGAGTTGTCTATCTATAAACATGGCAGTCTGTGAAATGTGTAAGAGAACAAAATATTATCAATGTCAGTGTTGCTAATTAATCATGATTGTTCACAGAATACTAAATTCCATTGCTGAAGATAATCTTCAATAGTTTCCTAATAATTTTTCCATTTTTTTTTCTATCTTAAACTGTTAAATATAACATTCAAATAATTGTTTACCTTCAAACCCATCATAAGCTACAGTAAATGTGCATCTCAGAGTTACCAAAAAAAGCTGTTACATTTACATTTAGTTAAGTGTTAGACTCTTCAAGTATTTATTAAAAAACAAAGAATTTGGTTAAAATAACCAATTTTTAATGATAATTCAAAATTAAATAACATATACTTATCAACCAAGAGCATTAAACTTCAGTATTAAATGTATCAAATTATTTTCTTACTTTTAAAATGGTAGTACCAATAGTCATGTTTGAGTGAATGCTAAGTTGGTATTCTGCAACTAAAAACTGAGGAGCATTATCATTCACATCTGTGATAGTAAGTCTAACTGTACTGTAACCCGAACGTCCCCCATCATCTATAGCTACTACAGGTATCTCATACAGGTGCTTTTTCTCTCTGTCAAAGGATGATTTTGTGTAGATCTCACCTGTTGATTAAAATATTTTTAAAAAGTGATAATAAAGCATTAAGTATTTATACACAAACTTGTTAAAAATAATTTTAATAAAGAAGCTACACATAAAATATGTTATTGCTGAAATTTAAAACAAGATGTAAGAAATAAAACTTACAAAAATAACGACAGTTCCAGCTGCCTTATACAGTTAACACTACTATTACTACTTGACACTACATATTAAAAAAATCAAACCTACTTCAAATTTTTATCTGAGAAACTAAGATAATATATTCAAGATAGAACAAAAATATCATAAGAATAAGTGCTTTGATTACACACACACACACACATATATCTATACATAGCTCTGTAACACTACAATCTGTTAAGTTGAATTACCAGGACCATTTACCACATTAAAAACACTTTTGTCACATGATATGAGCTCTCTAACTGAAGCTTTGAGTAAAAACACATTTTTTAACATGATAAATAGTCCTTACCTATTTTAAGAGTCTTAAGTGGCTATTCTTACTACCCATTATTACATTACTCAAACAGCATGATTCTGTGGAAAGTTTAAAAAGGTGAAATCACTGTACATCATTCTTCATGCACACACTGTTTTATCATATATAATTTACCTTAGTAACAACAAAGTCCATAGTTACATTATTTTGGTAACAATTTTGTCTATGATTTTAATATTTTAGTTTCTTTGGAGTTCATGATTACATAACTAGTCAATATCAAAACAACTTTTAACACCACTTGAGTGATGTTCTATGAAATTATAGTATTTCAATTATCTAGATCACATACAAGTTTATGAATGATCTTAGCATTCTTAACTTAGGTAACATTGACCTGAAAAAAGAATTAAATCAACAACAATATATAAATTCTTTTTTTTTACAACTATAGTTTAATACACTACCAGAAGTATGGTTTAGACTGAATAATTTTAAGCATTCTTCATTGTCTATAAAGTATTTGACAATTCCATAGTCTCCTCTATCCTTGTCTGTAGCAGAAACAGTAGTGGCCATGGTGCCTGAAGGTAAATTCTCTTGTAAGGCCACTTCATAATTTGTGCGAGTAAATACAGGTGTATGTTTGTTGGCATTCAGTATATCAACCAGAACAAGGGTGTAACTGGAGTAGACACCATCAGAAACAGAAATATTCAGGTTGTATGTGGAGTGTTTTAAGAGCTGGTGGGCATTGAATAAGGAGATCACACCTAGTTTAAATAAAACACACATTAAAAAAAGAAAGCAACTTAAGCAGAAATAGTACATAGATAGTAAACACATAAGCAAACTACACACAGTAAAGACAACATTTACATTAAATAATAACACAACTAAAAGAAAATAAGAGAATTTGAAAAATTAACGACTTTATGTTTATTTTCTTTATTTTTTTCTTCATAATGTTCATTATCATATAAATCATTTGATGTATCTGTTTAAACTTATTAGTTGCATTTTTGTATGTTTTTATGCATTTTACATGATACTGTATTATTTATATATTCATTTATATCCTTTATAAGTTGGAGTGTTCCTTAACAATTAGTGTTTAAAGTTGATAATTATTTTTCAATAGAGGCTACTTTGTTTGTTTGTTGAATTGTGTGCAAAGACATTCAAGGGCTTGTTTGTATGTTTTGAATTGCATGCAAAGCTACATGAGGGCAATCTGTACTAGCCATTCCTAATTTAGCAATGAAAGACTAGAAGGAAGGCAGCTAGTCATCACCACCCACTGCCAACTCTTGGGATAGTCTTTTACCAACATATAGTGCAATTGAGCATTACATTATAATGCCCCCATGGCTGAAAGGGCGAGTGTGTCTGGTGGAGTGGGGAATCGAACTCATGACCCTCAGATTGCGAGTCAAGTGTCCTAACCACCTAGCCATGCCGGGCCCACTCAAGAGCTATCTACAATAGCTGTCCTTAATTTTGAAGTGATAGCCTAGAGGGAAGGCAGCTAACCAACACCAACTCTGGGGATGCTCTTTAATCAAAGAACAGTGGGATTGAATGTCACATTATAATGCCCCCACAGCTGGAAGGGTAGGCAGGTTTGGTGACAGAATTCACACTCACGAACTGCAGATCGCAAGTGCTCTAACCATCAAGCCATGCCAAGCCTACTATAGGCTACATCATTTGAAAATGTTTTTTGTCTAATCTAAATGATATTTTGAAATTCGTTTAGACTACCTGTCATCCTGTGTAACTAATTATCTGAAAAATTACATCAATCATTTTACCAGCTTCTTTCTAACATAATTCTATTCTTCCCAGTTAAGTCCTTTCACCATTGTTTGAGCTAAAATAAATAATTATGTTCTTTTCAGCTAAGTCATTTCATTGTAGTTTTTCTATAATATAGCTTATAATTGTAAATTTCTCAATAAGATCATTTTGTAATAGTTTTTATGTAACATAGTTTATAACTCTATACTTGTTATTTAGACAATTTCAACACTGTCTTTATGTAATTTAAATACTTCTAATATTTCAATATGGCTTATTTCAACATTTCTATGTAAAAATGTTTATCTGGTCTTAGCTCAACTTATTCAAGAACAAATTACAAAAATAGTCTAATCATAATATTTATTTATGACTCTTTACATCTTTAAGTTTCATTAAATCACAACTAATAAAAATATCAAATATGAATCAACTTTACCATTTGCTGATACTTCTTCAAAAGTACAACAAGAAAAGAGTAACTGAATTAAAAATATATATTTTTTAGATTTGATGGCTATTTTCCCAAATTAAGAGATGTTCAACATCCATAAGATCATCTAAGCATTAAAATTTAAAGGTATAATTTATAGAATTAGAATTATATTTCTTGGGAAAGTGTGCACAGTTCTAATTTGAATGTGAAAAAAGTCTAAGTATTGTTACTTCATTCTTACAAATACAAACACTAATAATGGTTGAAAATGGCTTGAACGGGTAATGAAGAAAAACTTTAATATAAGTTTAACGTAACAGCAAATGTACAACATTTCGACAAGGTTTTGTCATCATCAGGTACAAATTTAAATACAAACACTATCTTTATAAAAAAGAAAAAAATAAGAGAGAGAGAGAGAAAAACATATATATACTAATGCCAAAAATATATAAATTGAATATAGAATAAAACTCACCAGTTGTTCTATTAATTAAAAATGCTTGGTTGTCATTGCCACCTACAATAGAGTAGGTCAGTTTGGGCTGGCCTGTGACGTCAGGATCAGATGCTACAACCATAGTAACAAACTGACCACGTTTAGCATGCTCACTAAGAACACATCTATAAAATGGATTTCCAAATGATGGAGGATTGTCATTCATATTTGAAACTGTGACCCAAACATCTGCTGTGGAGCTAAGAGGCGGAGAGCCCCCATCTGTTGCCATGACAACAAAATGATGTGTGGGCTGTGTTTCATGATCCAAAGAATGTTTGATGAAGATTACACCTTCTATAGGATCAACATGAAAATAGGCTGTAGCATTACCAAGAATGTTGTATTCTATATGTTGGTTAGATCCAGAATCCCTGTCAGTGGCATACACACTCAGGATGGATGTTCCAAAGGGTGTTGCTTCAGAGATTGATCCGTTATAAGTAGGTTGGTTAAACATAGGAGCATTGTCATTTATATCTAGCACCTGAATTTCAACTAAAACATCCCCATAATCTCCAGACACAGAGTCAGTGGCTCGCATGGTGATATCATACTGTTGTCGGGTCTCGTAGTCAAGTTCCTCCACCACAAAGATCACAGCTAGTAATTTTCCAAAATGTTATGAAAACACAAAACTATAAATACAAGTGCAGTAAAGCAATAAACTAAAATAACAACTGTAACGAAGGCCACAAGTTATTTTCAAGTACAACTGATCTAATAGTCCAATGGATTGTCATTAAGTTGTTCATATACTAGTTTTCTTAATACATAATTTATGTGAAAAAGACCGAGATGTCTAATGTGTACTACTAAAAGAAAATAATTCCACTAACAAAAGCTTTTGTTTATTTAAAAGAATTAAATACAAAAATTAGCTGTTCAATATTATATATGAACATGCACTAAGAAACACACACACATGGTGAAAGGTTTCTGTGACAAATGTGCATTCTAAACACAGTATGCAAGAATGAATATCAATCAAAACTACTACATATAACAAAACTTACAAAGTACCCAAATTTACTATTTTAACTATACAATATTGAAGCCACAGTAATCAAGCATTCTAGCATGCAGTCATTGTCTTGTACACGTTGTTTACTGTCTAAAAATAAAAAATATTCCCAAGAATCACTTTATGAAAAAAAATGTATAATAAGAATAAAATACTTCTTTTATGACCCAAATTTAACCTAAGAAACTTTAACTTACCTAAAAGTAAAACTCAAAGATTACAAGCACCAAATCTCAAAATTAATACCCAAGAAATACAAAGCATTTTCAAGAAATATAAAGAAAATATTTAGTACACAAGGTCAAGTTAAGCTTTCTTGGAAAGTTCATTTTTCTAAGTATTTGTATAAAACAGTTGAGCAAAGAGACTACTACTACATGCACACACAAGTCTTTAGAGATTTTTGAACAAATTATCTAAAAGTGAGATGGTATTATAGAAATAAAATGCAGTCAAGAAACTTTTTAAGTGTTTTCTGATGATGGTCCAACAAACAAAATTTAAAATAATCATACTGAGCATCTATATCTCAACTGATTGCATGAATATAGATATTGTGTCTATAACAAACATTTTTTTTTCTTATTTGGTTGCCTTTACTTTAATGTAATCTTTAATCTTTAAACAAGTAGTGTTGCAACTAATGGCTCTTAGATATTTATTTACTCTTTCAATATAGAAATGACTATTTTCAAATTTATAAATCATCAGTCATTTTTGTACAAACAGACAAATGTCAAATACATTGTAATTATCATTAACAGAGTTAAAAACAAAATATATTTTCTAAACCCTTAAATCACAGTACAAGATTCATCATAATTGTCTCAAAATATTTTTATGCTAAGCCAAATAAATGCCTTCATGAATGGTGCCTAAAACCAAAACGTGAAAAATACCACTATCAGATGATTTGTTTCCTTGTATTTTGAAATAAATGTTAGTTTACTAAAATTCCAAAGAGCTTTCATTATCAATAAGAAAAGAAACTGTTTCTTATAAACTGAATTAGTACTTTTAATAGTGACACCTGGTGAGCAAATTCATTTAAAATTGTATAACAACAAGACTACAGGAGTCCAAAGCTAAATGCTAGTTTCTACAACACTACCTGTACTAGAAAATACACTCAAAAATGTCTACTTTATATGAAAGGCTGCTTCTTTCTAGAATTGAAAGACTAGTGTATGGGATTCAAAAGCCAAATTATAGTGTGAAAAAGAAATAAAATTCCATATAAAGGAGTGGATGTTAGAACAAATCAAAGAGTGATGAGTAAAAACTAATAAAAAATGTCAAAACAGAAACAAAAAAGCAAAACCTGATTATATACTTACATGCACCATTATTATGACCCGAGTCTATAAAGAGACCAAAAAATGCAAATATTGTAAAATAAAAATATATAAGTTAATCAAAAAGAAATATATTATTGATACTTGGAATTTAAGTGAAAAAAAATGTCAAGCAAATTTTTAACTAGCTCATTTAATTATCTTATTTAGTGTCATAAATTAATAAAGTGACAAAACTGAACTATATTTGCCAAAGAAAAAACCGTAATAATGGAACTTAGAGATTCTTTGTTATCAAGCATATACTAATACTTGTTCAAATCTGTGTTTTTATTTTATTCTGTAAAAAAACAGAGGAAGAAAAATGTGTTTTTATTCTATTCTGTTAAAAATCAAATAAAGAAAATGTATTTCATTAGATTACTTTTGAAAAACATTCTATTATAATTAATAATGAAATAAAAAAGTAATTTTATTTCAAATTCAATTGTAATTTCATCTGAATAAATTTAACCTTCTAATGAAGTATCAGTGTATTAGCCATCCCAAAGTTTCTCTTGGCCATAAAAACTGCTACTGTTTATATACTTAACAATCACAAAAACACATCACCAATGGATTTAGCCACTTCTTGAAGTTCATAAGCAGGCATGAAAGAGAAAAAAAGATTTACAAATGACATGCCACTAAAACTCGTCACATATCATTGCAAAGTAGGTTTTTCTGGCCAAATCTGAGCAAAAATAAACGAAATAAAGGATAAGCACAAAAATAAAAATTTTTAAGGGTTTCACTGGGAGGCCTGTCTTATATATACCCAACAAGGTAACATTTGTTTTAATTATTTTAGTTTGGTGTTTGTATACAGTAGTTGAAGATTAATGTCATTTTTAACTATTTTTCATGCTTTTAAAGTTTTTCTATCACACGAGAAATGTTTTACCCAATATTAAAATATTAATTTACAACAAATTATTTAAAAAAAAATAAAACATACACAATGTATGTAAGAACATTATCAACACAGATTAATGATATCTTCTAGAATTAATAACTCTAAGTATTAATTCTTCAATCAGTCATGTTACAATCCAAAAGCTGAAATCACTTTAGCTAATTTCTCTTAGGTGATTAATAGTAATATATATACACACCAGTGTTGAAATCAACTCCAAATTCTTCGTCAATATTTCCTTTAACAATACTGTATATCAACTGCCGTCCTTGTGGACTTTCTGCAGCAACAGACAGAACAGGTGACCTAGGTTGTACATTTTCAGGAACAGACACTTTGTAGAATGGTTTTTCAAATGCTGGCATATGTCTGTTGACAACTTTAATGAACACAACTACCTCAGTGTGTAATGGGAAGCTTCCTGTGAAAGAAGCAATCATTACAAATATGTTAACCATGTCTCATATAAAAGTCCAAATCTCAATTGATATCCTATCAGTCAATAGAAGAAAAAGAACTAACATCTATATCACAATAGCTGTTATACTTGTAAACCATGCTACTCCTATTGCAATAAGCCAAACCAAGAAGCCAACCAAAAGAATTTTGAGAAGTGTTAAATGACTTTATCCTCTAATTCACCAATCATATTTGTATTGCAAAATTTATTATGATATCTTAAAAACAAGAGTTCCAGATTAATAAAAAGGAAATTAATTATTTTATAAGCTTCTAATTAAACTATGTGTTTCAAAAAATATTATAGGTTTATATCTCTTTATGTCAATGTCAGCAGTTCCCAAACATTTCCAATGACAACCCCATTTTAGATATCCCGAATCTGCATGACCCCATCTTGTTTTTCATCAAACTCTTGATCTCACTGGAGCTTGCCGACATCCCAGTTGAGGTTGTTACTCCAGGTTTGGGAACCATTGCTTTATGTCATGTATTGTAAATTATGAATTACACTTAATAATCTTTTGTACTGATATTTGACATATATACAATAACTGACCTACACCAAGTCCTCATGACATTTATGGTATCTTAAAGAATGCTGTTTATTTCATATGAAACCAATGTATCATATATATCAAATAAATGGAGAAAAAAAAGTCACTCAGTAAGAATTAGATCTTAAAATATATTTCAAATTTCATAGATTCTAGTTCTATACTGATAAATAATAAGAATCACTAAAATATAATGTAAACTTAAAATCATAAATAATATTCAATGTTAAACTGGTACACAATTAAAAACATTTTATTTAGGCCTATCTATGGCCTTCAAAAAGTTGACGACTCTACATGTTTTGATGTTACAACGTCATCCTCAGGAGTCGAAACATGTAGAGTTGTCAACTTTTCCAAGGCCGTAAATAGGCCTAAATAAAATTTTTTTAATCGTGTACCAGTTTAACGTTGAATATTATTTATGATTTTAACTTTATACACAAGTGCCAAAATACTATAATAATGTAAACTGTTTTACCATTATCATAAGCTGCAACAACAACTTCATAGGCAGTAATATGAGAATTCAAATGATGCTGTAGTTGAAGCTCGCCTGACATACTGTCAATGCTGAACAGATTTTTATCACCTTTAACCAGCTCATAATGAACATATCCATTCAAGCCCACATCCAGGTCAATAGCCTGCACCTGCAAGCAAAATCACGCAGCCATTATTGTTATCTTTTGCTAGATATATTCATTATTACAAGTGTGCATTTTCCTAGACAAAGTAAAATGTATACAATATTTTGTAAAAAGCTATTTAAATATTTTTTGGCCATTTATTACCAAGCTTAATTAGTTAATATGTATTGTGATTCTTCAAACACTTACCATTTTAATATTATGCATGACAATACAGCAATTATGAAAATATCTGTAAACCATAACAGTATATATACTGTTGTGACATTTGTGATTAAAAAAAAGAATAATATTTCATAAATTCATTCAGCATCTAAATACAAAAATTTAAAGTATCTTACAATATCCTACCTTGTAAATCACGTCCCCAGGTTGAGCTTCGATAGGTACTACAGAATAATAGGGAAGACTAACAAAAATTGGAGCATTGTCATTAATGTCTAAAACTGTTATTTCCACAAGTACATGAGCTACCCGAGGAATGCCAGTAGCCATACTTCTTGCTTCTATAGCCACTGTGTAATGGTTTAATGTCTCCCGATCAAAAGGTTGTCCTGTTGTTTGTAATACTCCAGAAGTCTTCCCAACCTTGAACATGTCAGATGGGTTCAAGATTCTAAAAATCACATGCTCATTTAATGCATTTCCTACAAGAGAAACAACAGTAACTCTACATACTTCTGTTGTATTTTCCATGACTGAAGCCCTGTAAACTTCCTCAGAGAATCTAAAACCACTAAAATTGGCCTTCTCCACCTTAACTAAAACTTTAGTGCTATTTTCAAACACCCCATCTTTTGCTGCTACTATCATCTTGTATGTGTCTTCTAGACCAACTGGATCTGTTACAAAAATTTGACCTGTGCTCTCATTAATAAAAAACTTTCCTTTTTGATTACCAGAAACTATTGCATATTTTACACCAATCTGTGTATCAGAGTCAGGATCAAATGCTTTAACGGTAGTCACAGCAACACCTTTATATGTTGGCAACAGCAAGATAGCTTCATACGTGTCCTTCTCAAACTGAGGAGAACAATCATTAACATTCAGCACTTTAATAAAAACTTCCGCAGTTCTTTCAGCATAAAGCCGAGGCCTACCCTTATCCGACACTAGGACACCAAATCGAAAAGATGATATTTTCTCATAATCCAAAGTTCGAATGGTGCGTATGGAACCTACAAAGGACATATATATTTTACCATATTAGAATATTTTATAACATTGGTAAAGCACAGAGTGAACACAAAGAATTAGTAGAACTTATTTAATTTACAAGAAATGAAAGATAGTGTACTTTATAACTGTAAGTTTGTGTTATGTGTGTTTGAAATAATGTAACATGATTGTAACAAAAGTTATATTTGCAAAAAAATGTAATTTATCAAAAATCTCAAACCACAATCATGATATTTTTGTTGACACTTGAGAATTTTGTAATTTGCAAGAACTTTCTATTACTTGGCGAAAGGAAATGTAAAGTGGCAAAAGTCAGTTGATGACAAAAAGATAAGGTAAAATTTGCAGCCTACATTTTCATAAAACAAGTCTGGATTCCTAGTAGAAAAGAAATATAGAATTATTCTAAGTTAAAAAAATTAAAGAATATACTAATAGATCATGATAACTTTGAACCGCAGGTTTTTGAAGAAATTCTACCAAAGTGAATCTACAAAACTGACAAATAGGAAGTAATATTCCTCTGTCGACTGTATCATGTTTCCTCCATGGTTATACAAATTCCAGAACCTACAAATCAAAAGTTTGGAAAGGGGGAAACATAAGTGGGTATTGGGTGTAAATAAAAAAGAACAAGAGAGCCAAATTTGATGAGGCTTGAGATATTTATACATAAAAAATGTGTAGCTTAAATTTTTTTCATGGATTAATTATACTGACAGTTACACTAATGACAGTTTACTAATGTACTGTCATGCCACATCAATTCCACAAATATGTCTAAAGCTTCCATCCAATAGTTGTTGAACTTCTTAACTCAAAAGATTTAACTCAAATTATACTATAATAATCATGCTCCTACTATATGACTTACAGCTGTAATCTACATTAACTTACATTTAGTTAAATCGTATCGTACAGTAACAACACTACACACAAAACTATCACAAGTGTAACCATCAACTTGTTGCAATAACTTTGTAGCTATTTTGTAGCTAAGTTAAACTTCAAAATACTAAATAGTTTCACTACATCTAAATGGGCTTGAGCTACATCTTTTTAAAGAGAAATGTTTCCATATGCTTTAGCTAACAGCAACAACTTTATTTTTGCACTTTCCCCCACTAAAAATTGCAAACTCAAAAAGAAACAAAATGAAAATAATTGTGACAAAGAGAAGAAAAGTTTATTTCTATAGTTTACTATAAATTTACCTACTTCTATAAATCAAGTATTAAGCTACACACACAACTAACTTTGTTCATGTAAAATTTCTTTTCCCTTGGATTGGTTTTATATTCTGGGTGGACCCGATTCTTTGATCACAATTCCACTACTGTATCTTTTTGTAGTATAAAAAAAAATTATATGAAAAATACAAATGTTATTCTAACCTGAACCTACCTAACTTGCTCAGCTACTGTAATAAGAACAATGCTTTATTACATGAATTATTTCAGGAACAGAATCTTTATGTTAACTGTCATAGTAGTTTTTATTTTAGCTAACATTATGAACTCCAGAACAAGGTTTGTTTGTTTTTCATTTTGCTCAATGTTTCATTTCCAGATCTGAAAGCTATTCAGCAAAACAAGTTAAACAATAAACTTTTTTTAATGGGTTGTATAAACAAAAAAGAGCAGAGAGGTACATAAAATTTAACAGAAATAACTATTTAGAAAATTACTAATACATTTGTTGGCATGAAGTGCATATAAGTTAATAATGTAACACAAACAAAAACAAAGTGGTATTTAATTTACCAGTAATATTATCCTCATAACTGACTGTGCACAGTTATATTATTTTTAACACCATGCGTCATCTTCCCTGTTATATTGCAAAGTATGAAATTCGTTGAATCTAGTAACTTATAAGAAAACAAGCAGCTCTCAGCAGAGCTTGTGGGTTTTTGTAATAAAAATATGTTTTTAATGATCTTATGCATACAAAATTACATTTTCCTCTATTTTTCTTTAACAAAAAGTGCCTTGTTTCACCACTAAAACCACCTGAAATGAAGAAACTTCAGTTTAGTTCACAGCAACTTTTGTAAGGTAAGAGATGCGTTATGTGTGGATTTTGTGAGAAGTAATATATTCAATATTATTAAAACTTCTAAATGGATTCTAACCACACTTGTAATCTGAAAACTTGAAAATAACTTTATCATAAATCATGTAACTTACCAATACTAGAATCTATCTGGAAATAAGTGTATGCCAATTTCTCTACAATCTCATACACCAGATGCGAGTTCAATTCTGAGTCTTCATCGACTGCACTGACTACAAGGGGAGTAATTTTACTGGTCAACACCAAGGTTCCAATTTTTGCTAATTCACTTATTTCTCCATAAAAAGTTGACTTAAGAAACACTGGGGCATTGTCATTTCTGTCAAGTACATGTATTGTTACTATAGTACTGGCATTCATACTAACTAGGTTTGTTGCATTAATTGTGAGATTATACATCTCAGTTTGTTCATAGTCTAACCTTGCAGCTGTATGAAGTTCACCTGAGTGGGGGTTAATGATAAATTTTGCTTCTTTATTACCAGACACAATTTCATAATATACTACAGACTGACTGAAGGCTGCAACAGTTGTAACAACAATGCCAGGCTTTTCATTCTCATAGAGTTCTACGATATATTCTTGTTTTTCAAACTTAGGAGCAGAACTATCAGGTGCTGTTACAATAATATGGACACTAGCTGTGCTGTCCTTATATATGATTCCTTTGTCAGTAGCTCGGATGGTGAGATAATATTCTCGCATAATGTTTCGACTAAGCTCTTTGGCCACTGAAACAATTCCTCTCTTAGGGTCCATGGAAAAGCTATTTCCTTCATTTCCTATAAAGATTAAGCATATGAGAAACCTCTGTTGTTATTTTCAAGCAAAATCAAATGTGTAATATTATATCAAAAATAAAGTAACATACAAAAGGTAACCTTCATCTTTTGTATTTGTTATGTACAGAAAATAAAAACCAATAATAAGATAGTTTTACTTCAAAAAATAAAAGGGTCAAGTCAGGAATCTTTATTAACATATATAAAACAAATGAAGTTCCCAACTGAAATATCAGTAATAAATAATTATTCCTGATCAAATATGACTTCTATCTTTTTAAACAACTGACTGTACATATAATTACTGTTTATATAAAAGTTTTTACACTTTTAAAGCTCAATTAACAGCATTACCTTTCACAATTTCAAAGATTAGTTGTGCATTTCTACCTTTGTCCCTGTCTACAGCAAATACCTGCACTACAAAAGTACCAATAGCAGCTGTCTCATAAACTCGTCCTTCAAACTGTGCAGAAAGAAATTCAGGTGCATAATCATTGTGATCTTCTATATTGATCAGTGCTCGAGCAAAATTACGTTTAGAAGGAATTCCGTGATCCTTGACCATAAGTGTTAGAATGTGCTGATGACACACTTCATGGTCAAGAGGCTTAGCAATTGACAGGATACCTTTATTTGGATCCATATGAAAATGTTCTTGACTTGATGGACTGGCACTGAAAATTAAATAAAACACACATAATTAAAATCTTTATATGAAATACGAAGTTTCTTTATGTTTTTTTATTATTATTATTTGATTCAAAACTTAATTAAAGTATATGTATTTGATATTTATAGCAAAACTACTAAGACTATCTGCCACCAGCCTTAATTATGAATTACTGACCAGAGGAAAGGCAGTCAGTCAGAAGTATTTAAATTTACAATAATGATTTTACCTATTATATATAGAGTAGAACAGTTGTTCTTCTTTATCTTGATCCTTTGCTGACACATGTAATACTTCCATCCCACATTTAGAACTTTCGTTGACTGTTGTCATGTATTTAATTTTGCTGAAAACTGGTCTATGATCATTGATATCCTTCACTTCCACTTTTCGCTGTAAATATTTTGTGCAAAAAATAATTACTCCAGTTACTACTAAGTATCAATAAATGTAACCAAAAATGAACTTAAGTTATAATAATTTCTATAATATCAAAAATATTTGAACTATACCACCTAATTTTACAATTGAAGTGATATTACACACTTCTAATTAACCATCAAACAATATTAAATCCAGAATAATACAAATCAAATGAACAGTCCTAATAATAGAATAATAATTAATTACATTGAGGATCACATAATGATATCTTATGTGAAATATATCCATTTAGAAACTGTTATTCTATCGAATTAAAACATAACATGATGTTTATGGATAACAAGGGACCTATTGATCCATCTAAACTGTTTTATCCTCTAATCTAAACTAAAAGTATTAATTAAAAAAATTAAAAACCTTCAAAGCCAGCCCTTATCATTCATATAGTTATCAAGCTTTCTCTTAAACTCATTTAAATTTACTGCCTCCACAACATATGAAAGCAACCTGTTTCAAAGGCCAACCACCCTGTTAGAAAAACAAAACTATCTTAGCTGAAGTTGACTCCTACTCTGCCAAAATTTATACTTGTGTCCCCTAGTCCTACCATTCTCACCAGTAAGTATGAAAAAAGATGATGCATTGACACTACCAATTTCCTTTACAATCTTAAACACTTCAATCAGATCCCCTCTAACTCTTTTTTTATTCAAGATAAAACAATTTCAAAGATCTTAACCTCTCATATGCCAACGAGCGATCCCACACACCATTCTATTAGCCCTCCTCTGAACCCTTTCCAACAATTCAATGTCCTTCCTAAGGTTTGGAGTCCAAGACTGAACACAATATTCCAAATGTGAACTAACCAGTTACCTATACAATGAAATTATAACCTATTTAGTCTTGTATTCAATATTTCTATAGATACAACCTAAAATCCTATTTCTCTACCACTAGCAACAACGCACTGCTTGGATGGCTTTAGAGACTGATTGATTATTACACCAAGATACCTTTCCTTCACACCACTATTAAGGTTATTCCCATCCAAATTATATTTTAAATTCAAATTATGATAACCCACATGCATTATCTTTCATTTATTATAATTTGCCCAACTCACTAAATTATCTAAATCCTATTGCAAATCAGCAGCATCCTCTTCACAGCTAGCAACACCCAAGACCTTAATATCACCTGCAAATTTAAATAATTTTTTCACTATTCCTTCATCTATGTCATTGATGTAAATCAAAACGAG